GGGGTGCTGACAGGGACTGGGAAGCTGGAGGAGGAGGTGGCGGCGATGCTGAGGGTGCTGCGGGTGCTGCCACCCACGCGGGAGCTCTTGGAGGACGTGGGGCCGGAGGAGGTGGTGGCCATCGCCCATCAAGCGGCGCGGGACTTCATGGAGGTCTACGTGGGTAGGGAGGTGGCACCGGGTCGCGATATTACACCTGCCCCCCCCCAAAATGTTTGGGTGGGAGGATGGGTGGAGAACTGCACCCTGGGTGGGGCTGGGGTCCCCGGTGTCACCCCAGTGTAGGTGGCACTGGGAAGGGACAAGCTCTGAGAGCTGACTGGTGACACATGGCCTGGCAAGGTCAGACCCCACCATGTCCCCGGGATGGACACCGGCGTGTCCCAGATGGACACTGGTGTGTCCCCATGATGGACACCCACAGGTCCCACGGATGGACATTGGTGTGTCTCCTGGGTGGACACCAGTGTGTCCCCAGAAGGTGGTCCCTGGGTGGCCACCACCATGTCCTCTGGATGGACACCGGTGTGTCCCCATGATGGACACCAACAGGTCAACGGATGGACACCAGTGTGTCCCCTGGATGGGCACTGGTGTGTCCCCATGATGGACACCCACAGGTCCCACGGATGGACATTGGTGTGTCTCCTGGGTGGACACCAGTGTGTCCCCAGAAGGTGGTCCCTGGGTGGCCACCACCATGTCCTCTGGATGGACACCGGTGTGTCCCCATGATGGACACCAACAGGTCAACGGATGGACACCAGTGTGTCCCCTGGATGGGCACTGGTGTGTCCCCATGATGGACACCCACAGGTCCCACGGATGGACATTGGTGTGTCTCCTGGGTGGACACCAGTGTGTCCCCAGAAGGTGGTCCCTGGGTGGCCACCACCATGTCCTCTGGATGGACACCGGTGTGTCCCCATGATGGACACCCACAGGTCCCACGGATGGACATTGGTGTGTCTCCTGGGTGGACACCAGTGTGTCCCCAGAAGGTGGTCCCTGGGTGGCCACCACCATGTCCTCTGGAGGGACACCAGTGTGTCCCCTGGACCCTGGACACAGCCACGTCCCCAGCCAAGGAAGACCCTGAGCGGGTGCTCCACGTCCCCTAGATGAGGGGACCCCAGGAGGCCACTGCCATGTCCCAGGCCAAGGGGTTCCTCATCTGGGCAGATGCTCCATGTCCCCAAGACCCCAAGGGGACGCTGCCATGTCCCCAGCTGCCCGGGGGACCAGGCGAGTCGCCTTCTTCCACCGCCTGCCTTCCCTCACAGCGTGCCCGGCCATCGTGCCCCGGTGCATGTGGGGTGCCCGTCCCTACCGGGGCACCCCCAAACCGTTGACCCTCCCACTGGGCTCCGTCTACATCCACCACACCTTCATACCCAGCGCCCCATGCCGCACCTTCACCGCCTGCGCCCACGCCATGCGCTTCATGCAACGCTTCCACCAGGACACTCGCGGCTGGGATGACATCGGCTACAGGTGAGACCCCATCGCTGTCACCCCGCCGCGGTCCGCGTCATCCATCTCCAGGCGGCTCAGGTTGACCGGTGGGTGCTTGCAGCTTCGTGGTGGGGTCGGATGGGTATCTGTACCAAGGCCGAGGTTGGCATTGGGTTGGTGCCCACACCAAAGGCTACAACAGCAAAGGCTACGGCGTGGGCTACGTTGGAAACTTCTCGGCCACCCTGCCGGACCCTGACACCATCGCCCTGGTGCGGGATGGGCTCCTGCCCTGTGCCGTGCGGACCGGCCGGCTCCACCATAACTACACCCTCCGTGGCCACCGCCAGATGGGTAACACCGACTGTCCCGGCAACTCCCTCTTCCATGAGATTGAGACCTGGCATGGCTTCGAGGTGAGCACCGAGCTCTGTAGCATCTCCAGGGCTTGGAGGTTTGGTGCCCGCTTGGGTGTCTGGTCTGGTCTGGCATGGCCGGGGGGTGGGTTTTGGTGAGGGTGCATGTGGGAGGTGATGCTGGGACTGACTGTGGTTTCTTCTCTCTACTGCAGTGAGGACCAGCCCCGTGGGTCCCGGTCTGGATGGGTGTGGGCAAGGTTGGGTCATGGTCTAGACGGATGCTGGCGCGATGGGTGATGGTCTAGATGGACCCTGGTCCAACAGACGTTGGGCTGACGGGTGCCAACCTGGACAGACCCGGGTCCAGAGGGACACCCGTCCCATGGACATCAGACGGGCCCCGGTCCAGACAGACGCCGACCAGGCAGGTGCCAGCCCAGGCGGATCCCGGTCCAGATGGACCCCAGCCCAGCAGATGCCAACCCTGATGGACCCTGGCCCAGAAGGACCCCAGTCTTGAAGGCTACCAGCCTGGATGGGTCCTGGCCCAGATGGACCCCGGCCTGGCCCCACTGGCCCAGCAGACCGTCCCTGTAACCACGAATTGCCAGAAATCCCCCCGCAATAAAGCCCGTGCCAGGACATCAGCTTCGAGTGGTCCCTGGAGAGCGAGAGGGAAACTGAGGCGCGGGGCAGAGGGTGGCCATGGGAGACGACTTGAGCGAGGGACCCAGGTGCCCAGGACCTGCTGCTGGGCTGGGTGCTGTGGCACACGCGTGTGTGTGCGCACACGTGCGCCCCGCACCCGAGCAGCGCTGTCCCCCCATAACCCACCTTGGAGACCCCGCATGACCCCCAAGGAGCCCTCCCCCTCACCGAGACAGGCACCCACCCTCTCACCCATCCCCCGGAGGTACCCACATAGCACTCCACACCATGACACCCAGGCGCTGCCATTTCCTGCACCTGTTCACTCTGAAACTTAATGATGGCCTTTAAGCTGGATATATGCAAGCGGCCACCGGGGTACCCGGACCCCCATGCAGTGCAGCCCGGAGCGGATCATCCTTCCCGGCGCGTCCTGAGCCGTGGCCGAGCGCAAGCCCGGCTGAGCTGGAAGCGCAGATAACATCATCGGGGCAGAGGCGGAGGTGAGGGTGTGACTGAAACTCCTGCCTGGTCACATGGGGAAGCCACGACAGGAACCGGGGCAGCCGAGCCCCGGGTGCCGGAGCAAAGCCGGAGTCCCGGGTGCCGGAGCAGGCAGAGAGCAGCCGAGGTACTGCGGGGACGGAGGGGGGTGCACGGCAGGGTGGCACCCCGGGGTGATGCTCCGGCCGCAGGGGGGCACAGGGCATGTGGGGTGCTGGTGGGGGGTGAGACAGCACCCTGAAGAGCAATGGGTGCTGCAGGGGAAGGCACGGGTGATGGGGTGCTATAGGGTGCTGCAAGGTGTGTGTGTGGGGGACACGAAAAATGCTGGCACGC